ATTTCTAAACCCGTATTAGACATGTTTAAAGCAAGTAAGTTTTATATGGCCAAGTTTTCTCAAGTCGAAATTAATTTTATACATATGTGTTGTTTCTTAAAAATGCGTTATTTTAATTTCTTTAGAGGAGACTCAACATTTTTGAAAGAAGGAAACATTTCACGCATGGACAAAATAAAAAGTCGTACGGCATTTTAACAATTTCAGAAGGAATCATTCCCAAAATAACATACAGCATTTAAGAAGTCGCTTAATTTAACTAAAGCTTCAAAGATAGCTTACTTAAACAAAAAAAATATTTGTATCTCACTAGAATTTAGGGTTTTTAGATTCATAAAAGGACTTAGAATGGAAACAAGAAATAACTTTTATATTTTGGGTAAATATTGTAGAATAGATAAATACGTTTTGAAGAAACTAACTTTGTAAGAAACAAACTATTTTCTCATTATTCCAGATCTGTTCTGTTTAGAATATGTAAAATGTAGATTTAAAAAAATCTATTTCGAGTTGAAGTCTTGGTGAGGTTTCCGTATGAAGAAAACAGGGCTTCTATATGACTGATTTAGATCAAGCCAGAGTTAAGGCTTTTACTTTGAGTTATTTTTTCAAAATATTTTGGTAATAAACCAGATATTCGACATTAGAAGTTTTTCGTTTCGATTCATTAATAGTTGAAAACTATTCTGCAGCGATGCTCTTAAACATCAGATTTATGAAATAAATTAAGTTTCACAAACACAATAATGTCATATGAGCAATAATCGTACATAGGTGTTGTAAAATAATATGATATCCTCTACTAAAAAACTGTTACTTTAAATATAGCTGTCTTTTTCAATAAACATCAGCTTACAAAGTGAAAATGTATTGCAAAATGCATTGCATCAATTTGTTTGGCCCTTTTATACGAGACTGTATGCCAAAGCAGAATGTTTGTCTTTGTACTGTTTATTTATAGAAACATTGAAATTCGCAGTAAAACTGAATATTCTACTACCGATAGTTATTTCTATTTATATGTGAAGACAAAGTACAAACAGACTGTGTTATTTTTCGAAATCCGAAAGTGTTTCTAAGACCATTCAACTCGGAGCAACAAGGTAAGGTCGCACAAATCATGTTTGAGTTCTGGAAAAACTACAAAACTCAAGGAAACAAACAAATGGAAGGTAACACTACTACCTATATGAATTTATGGTGATTATAATGCAAATAATAATATGATGCCGCATCACTGATGCGTTAATTTAGATTCAATATGTATTTACTTTGTATTTGTGTATTTGTGGTTTAAGAGTCTTTTTCTAGAAGTGCTTTTAATAGTATTCTCTTTTACTATCCCGCTTTACACTCATCTTCACCTTTTGTTGTGATCTCGATATTTATTTCAGATGATTTATGCAATTTTCTGAATGTTTTATTGTCTCTTCACACTCATTTGACTTTTTAGGAGCGTAAGTGTGCAGTCTTTTCTTAGCAATGTCTGAGTTTATGGTCGCTTTTGCTAGGACTTGCTAGTTTTTTTATGCAAGTGACAACAACAGAAGGTTCAAAATCATTAAATATAACAAAGCATGCGTTGGAATTATCAACTTGTTTTTCTTCTATTGTTACTTCTTCTGTTTTGCATCCACACTTTTCCTAACTCTTTGCTCGATTGCGCTTTTGGGAACTAAATAACATGCATCATTTGAGATTTCGTCCTTTGGTTGTCCGAGACCAATTTGTAGTGATGTTAGCATTTCGGTCAGAAAGTATGCAAGTTTTAAATAGAACTTTAAAATTTGAAATCGATTAGAAATTCTGCTCAACGGAAACATCGTTTAAGGATTAAGTTAATCTTAACATTGTATTCCACCTGGAAACAAACAATCTATTCTTTTGTTTCTTGGTATCGACCATGAAACACTCTGAATATCTTTATAATAGGTATTACAGGGTGATTCACAACCTTATGGATATAGACCAGGGGTGTGCAGAGGATCTCAAAGCAAGTCGAGTTTTCATTTAAGCTATGGTTAACGAGATACAGGGTTACAAAAAAAATTTGGTATTTTCTCTTTAACTCCTACAGTTTATGAGATATTTTGCTCAAATTGTGAACGTAGGCTAATGTTTAGCCCCTTTATCCGCAAGTAAGGCGACTGGTTGTGAAAATTTACGGGTGTTCTTTTTTATAGAGACATACCCCCTTTTACTCCCCCTCCGAACTTTTTTGTGGCGTGCCACTGAATTCGACTAACAAATTTTTGAATTTGTCGTTCAATTAAGAATTTTATGATCTCTTGCAGTTTTTTCGTATCTGCTTTCGTTTTCGAGTTATTTGCACAAACATAAGTTCATGTATGGTTCCTGGGTGATTTTCTGAGAATTTAATTTTTTTTTAAAGATTTTTTTGAGTTCTTTTGTTAACTTTTTTGTATGAAAGAAATTAATTTCATAATGAATTGAAATATTCGTTACATTTTTGTGTATTTTTATTTGGATTAGCTTACAGCCGATATACCTCAATTATTGTAAATTAAATTAAAGTAAAAAGAAAATTTAAAGTTAGCTCGTCAGTCATCCCTATTTCAACTTCCACTTGCACTTGAAGCTTTCACAGAAATATGTTGAATTGAACAAAACGGCGCAAAAAATAGAAAAAAATTCATAGAAAATCACCTTCCATCCATTCACAGAAACGCTACATGGACTTATAATTGTGCAAATAACTCGAAAACATAGAGAGATAGGAAAAAACTGCGAGGGATCAGAAAATTCTTGAATTGAACATACAATGCGAAAATGTGATCGGTCGAAGTCAGTGGCGCACCACAAAAAAGATCGGGGGGGTAAAAGGAGGTATACCTCTAGAAAAAAAGACCCTGCAGATTTCCACAACCAGTCGCCTTACCTACGGGTAAAGGGTCTAAACATTGGCTTATGTTAAAAATTTGAGCAAAATATCTCATAATCTGTAGGAGTTAAAGAGAAAATACCAAATTTTTTTTGAATCTTTAACATCCTGTAAAATATCATATCCATCATAACCATGGGCCTGAGAAAAAAACTTAAATGGAAACTCGACTTGTTTTGAGGTCGACGACCCTGCTCTGTGTCCATAAGGTTGTGAATCACCCTGTATATTTTATTCATACCTCGAATAACTAGTTAAGTTACTAAATAACTAGGTTTGTTCACTGGCTTTAAGCTGCTTTAAATAACATTTTAATTAAAATTTTCTTTTTTTGTTGGATTTTTTTTCAGTTGGAGCTTATATTTTGTATGTAATTGTGGCGCTTCAAGCACTGAACGTTTGTGCTATTTTTGTGTCAATTCGTTCCATATTATATATAATAAAATAAACAAATATAAATAAATAAAAAAATATAATAAAATTGCTGATTGTTATTAAGTAAATTTGTTTTTCTCGTTCTTTTTTTTCTAATTTACAGTTTCGCTACATCTGGACGGTCTAAGGTTATTTCCTGACCATAATTGGTGGACATCAGTATTTCTACTTTTAGAAAAATAATCTCACCACGCATCCGTTTGAATGCTCAGAAAGTAAATTCGTTAAATAAGTTTTTTTTATAAATAAGACTGCTTTAATTAAAACATTTGTATTTTCTATCCAAACTAAACGCCTAATTAAGTGCAGAAGAAAAATTTTAAAAATGCTTGGAATTAATATTCAAAACTATAAATTTAAATACATATTTACAAATGCATCGAAAAAAAAACTTTCTACATTACGCCGGTGTTTGAAACCATGGCTCAAAATACAGAGCTTGTTTCCAAATCTTCATTTTTATGTTTAGAATTTTCCTCTTATTTTCGAACCAAACTACGGTAGGATATAATTAAAATCTATCCATCTAGTTTGAATTCTAAGCAAATCTAATTTGTTTGCAAAAATGTACAATGGTACGTATTTAGATTAATTCTCAGTGTGCGCTTTTTTAAAATTTTTTAAGCAAATGTCTCAATTAACTTCTGTTCACTTATTACATGGTATTACTCTTAGTAAATAAAGAGGTTCACATATTGCTAAATGTGTGTACTATCTATTTGTCGTGCCAAATGATTTGATGAGATTGTTTCAAATGGCATCGTTTTGGCTCCTAAAGCGCTATTAGGATACATCATATTGTATTCTTTCAATTCAATTTTTTTTTTGACGATTTATAGCTTTGACATAGGACTACAGCTGTTTGAAACGTTATATCATCTAACCAATAAATGGCCACCTACTGCTTAGTTTTCATTAATCAGAAACAATGGATTTATCTGTGAAATTGTGTATACCAGTTAATTCTAATAATCTAGCGGGGATGGAAAATTTGAGCAATTTCAAGCCTGGAAATGCACCGATAATCATAATAAACTACACATCTAAAATGTCTGAGTGTTTTTTTCACGAATAAAAGTTCATTTTAGAGCCAAGCAGACACTTGTTGGGCGACATAAACACTCTATTTTTAAAAACTGTTTATGCGATTAATTTCATGCAGAGAATAACCTCTACTTCAAATATTTAGATAATATATCAACTTTTAAAGCTTTAGCATTAATATAAAAAATAGATTGTAATGAAAGTAATAAGAAGCAATTAATTTGAAATTAACTACCTATATGTATGTGTATCTATCAGAAAATTAAAATTTAAAATTGTCTGAATAAATTATATTAATGAAAAAATATAAATTTTAATGATGATCAATAATTTTTATGATGGTTGATTTGTTGATTCGTGATTTACTAATAATAAACAGATTAACAAAATAGTAGCCCATAGCCCACAGCATTGTAGAACGTTTTATAAGAAAAAAGTGTAAACAGTTCATCAATTTCTGGATTTTTCTTTGCTTAGTTGGGAATATAATTTCGGATATACTTAGTTAAGAATATTGAGTACTAAAAAATCTTTCTTGAAAAACGTATTTAAACTTTGATGGTTTTTAGTCAGACAAACATGCATAAAGAACTAAAATGAACTTATTCTTGCTACTCACCACTTCCTTTTTAGGGCACCTGGATCTTTTAAGCTGTCTTGTCCACTTATGATAACCGTCATTGTTACAATTCAATATTAAGTCCACTGAGTTAATGATAAACAATATTAAATTAAATTAGGCTTATTTTGAGACAAATTTCTCAATAATCTAAGATTCATTGAAAATCAAACTTTTTGCTACCGGCAATTTTTTTCTGTGGATAGAATGACCACGATCACACAAAAACAAACGAAATAATTCAGTTTGGTTTCAAAAAGTCTCACATCAATTTTTAACTTTTAGCCGACAGGATTTTGTATCGCGACACACTCCAGTAAATTAAAACCAGTCCAAAATTGGGAGCTCCTTTTAAACATCAACAAATTTTCACTCAGAACTACACTGGAGTCTCCTTGTTGTCCAGACTTTCGGTCTGTACAATTTTTCTCTGTTTATAAAGACGCGCTTTTCATCAATAAGGTCCCAGATACTCACTGAGCAAATTTAAATAAATGGAAATCGAGCAGAGGAATAGCGAGTTATACCTCCGACAAGGTGCGCTAAAACCCCACTACTTAAAAGAGTATTTTTAGTTTTTCAATTTTTTTTGTGTCAAGTTTAAATGTCTCGCATTTTGGAATCATGTTTTTTCTACCTCACTTGTTTACTTTCATAGAAGTTGAGCTTCTTTATAATGTGAGAATTTATCATTTGGGAAATCGAAAACAGAAGTAAGTGTTAATGTTCCCACAAACAAGCTGTTTAATCTACTATTGAAGCTGCTCATTTTATAAACTGTAAAAACCTCAATTTTAAAACGCCTTTTTCAAGGTTTAACGGGTATTGGCGATAAACAGTTTTAACAGCAATAATTTCATTAATTAAGAAAATCAGTAAATAATTAGAGCAAATGGAGACATTTTTAAATGAAGATAAATTATAGCTATAAATAAATAAATAAAACAGTCGCGGATGGCCAGGTTTAAATGTATTTTTACGTGCGAATTTCAACGTTGCAGATACAAGTGCTGAGATCTACATTATAAAGGGTGACCCATTAATATGAAAAAGCTAAAATATTTATATGAAATAGTCTTAACGGTGAAAGGCAAAAATTATTTTGTGATCTTCAAATGATAAAATTATTGTCAGTTATACACACGTCTCATAAAAATTGCCACCTGTTTAAGTGAAGATCTCTGATTTCTGTATTCAATTTGCAATCATTTGATTCCACATGGTCGAGGTTTGCGTATATCATTGACCAGCATTCAAAGTTTCCTCCATTTGGTATTTTAAAATAAATTTTGAAACGGTAAGAATTAGCAGCGTGCTTTGTTTTCAGTTTTCATAAAAAGAAATCGGCATTCTCTTTCTTACTTTAAAGTTTCATTGGCTGTTAAGGTGCATTTGTTACAAATTATCAAAGTTCAATTTGTATTTTAATTCACTAAAAAATGTTTTTTTTCATAAAAGCTATAATTTTTTCCTTTAGTGTATTTGGATATACTGCGTTATTTGATTCCAATAAAGACTAAGACGTCAAATAAATTGGAGGAAAATTATTTTCATTGAATTGAATTCGAATCATTTCCTGAAACTTGTGAGTTTTTCGGGATTTTAGGCCGTCGTAAAATAGAATTTCTTCTGCACTGTCCTAAGCTTTCAAGCGAACCACCTCTGAAAACGCAAGCCACTCGTGCTTGCGAAACTGCAGGAAGAAATTATATTTCACGACGGCCTGAAAACCCGAAAAACTCACCTAAAATATTTGAATTTTGATAATTTGGGGGAAAAATGGAGGAGCTAATGCAAGAAAGAAAGCTAATTTATTTTCGACTTAATCGATTAAAGAAATTCAATTTATTTTATTTTCATGGCAATGTACTAAAACTTTTTATGATTAAATACTTACTCAAAGTAATTTTTATTGATGTTTTCAGAAATGTGCAAAATAGTTATATTGAAAATTTAGTTTTCTGATACTTATTTGTACTATTCTGATAATTATTTGTAGTACTTAAAATATCTTGTCACTAAGCTTTAAATGCAAATGTAAATAATTTTTTTGAAGTAATCCATTGTGTACGAATTGGTTTCAAAATTTCAAGCACAACAGAACAAGTAAACTCATCAACGAATGTTAAAAACGAAATAATACTAATAATAACTAATCAATTCATCAATTTAACAGATAATTTTTCCTTATTTCAAAAATTATCTGTCCGCTTAAAATATCCCCTTTAAATAATACTAATAATAAGTACCCTAAGAATGATTTGTAAGACCATCAAATATTTTTACGATAATAATTGAAATAACAAAGCGTGTTACAAAAATACATGAATACAAAAAATACCTTAAAAAGTTTTTAATCTTCAACCACCGAGTTAAATTTAATATTTCGGATAAATACTAGAGAAGGATTGGCTATAGAAAATTAACTAGCCAGGTTTAGAGTACAACAAATTAAACAAACAACTGAATGAAATCAAAGTTCTAATGAATAATAATCGCTAAAAGAGAAAAATCAATACCACACCTAAAATATTTAGTGGGTAACCGTTATTTGCACTTACCAAACACACATTAATAAATAATCTCCTGTTATATAACTGGGTTTTAAGCGTATTTTCTACACCTTCTTGCAATTATTAGGTTGTTTTGATTTCCTACTCGCTACATAAAATGTGCATGTTTTCCCAGAAGTAAGTAGTTATCCAGCTCTAATAAAAATCCGATAAATCAGCCCAAGAATTATATTTTTAACCTGTCTGGAAAAACCCGCACAGCATCCATCCACGGAAAAGTCTATAAAAATGTACTTAATTATCGTGTATGTTTGCATGAAAATTTGCTTACATTGTGATGACCTAAAATCAGTCGAAATCGGTGTTAGTTCAATCAAATTGACTAGGTTTCATATTGCGAAAATGAAATATGCAAATAACAATTATGATCTCATTAGTTCGCTAGATGTCGAACGATCATCTTCAGTTTATTGAATTAATACGCATATTCTAGTAGACTAGAATCTTTTTCAAGACGTAATTATTGAAATTAGGACAGTTGTCATTTTCCTGGAACGATTTTCCAACCAAATCTTTCAAAACAAACCATTATATTTTCGGAGCTCTGAACTTGATATGCCAATAGGTGACGAATGAGCAAATAACAAAAAAATTATCACACGGTAAGTAATTAGTACCGTTCCGAAAAATCTGACCTGACATTGGTCCTACTAACCCTCACCCTAAAACCTGGATGCATTAATTTTACTTTAGCCAGTTATTCTGCCTTAGCAACTGGTGCATTTTTTCTTTCAGGAAAACTTTCTTTTCGCATATTTGGAGCAAGAAAGTGTTCCAAGGCAATAGAAAAATAGGTGAAAAAACCAATTATATTCACTATGGTGTTGCAGCGCGTTCGATATAAATTAATACCTATTTGTAGTTTTGTGCGGCATGGTAATAAATTTATAAATTGTAATAAAAAGCAACAATAAATTATCGTTTTGAATATTTTGCCGTTTTTTCAAAGCAAAAGGTATTGGCAATGACTTCATCATACATATGAGTTGGATAACATGTTTATTTACTAGCTGCTTGCATTACAACCAACTATATGAAATTGTTTTAAATAACCAAATATTGAAATGTGAACTGACGTGCAGTTTAACTTAAATCAATACAAATAAGACCTATAAAATTCACTGAGATTCAAGTAGAAAATGTTGGAAAAATAATTCTCTTCTTTGGTGCCGAGATCCAGGTTGTAATATCAGTAAAATGTGTATACAAACACTACATACTTAGATTTTCGGTCATTTTTCGAAACTATAAATTAGCAAATATTAAGGTTTTTCAATCGATTTTTTTTGCCCGTGAATTATCGATGGTGATAATCAATTTTCAGAAAACCGAATAAGTGAAAAAACATAAGATAAAATAATTGACGGCCTGCGAAGTTATTGTGTTGCTTTGTTGCATTCCAAAATGTGTTTCGATTAATTAAATTTCAATAAAATTTTTCGGTTTCAATATTATTCTCTTGAATACATACATTTTTGTTTCGCATTACTACAAAAGGACATAAATATAAAATCGGGCCTAGATAGGAATGAAGACAAGAATCTCAAAAATAGTTTCTACTTATGTTCGACAGCAGAAAACGACTTTAGAAGCGTTTTGCGTTTCAGAACGTCTTAAAAAAAGTTTTAAATTTAATCACCTTGTAGTTCAAAAGTTAGAGAACAAAGGAAAAATACATTTAGAACATGTAAGCTTTTTCTCAAAGTGAAACCAAGAAAGAAGAACAAGAAGGAGAAGTGAAACCAAGAAATTATGTAAATAATATAACTAGTCTGAATATTAGCACATTATATTAAAAACACGCTGTATACTGTCCGATTTCTGTTTTCACGACGTGTTCAGACGGTCTTTCACTGTTTTTGACTAAATATGTCTACAAAGTTTTGCTCACAATATGTATAACGAACTAAAAACGTTGAAAAGCGCGACTGTATAATCATACATTTTCCCATTATTTAAGGAGAAGTTTTGGGAAATAAACAGGTTCGTTGCTATTTACTTCAGGTTGAACCTGTAAACATTTTATTTCCCAATATACAAGGTGATTCAGTTTTAATTATGAGTAGTACAGTATACTCGTAAAAATAGTAAAAAACGTTTATAAATGCTTGTATTTTTTAAATCTTTATCTCTTATCACCAGTCTTCTTCCTTACGCTTGCCTATTTGTTAAATTTAGATTAAGATTTAAACAAATGATCATCCAAACTTTTTAGGTCATAAAAGAGTTTTGATAAAAAATAATTCAAGATATACAATTAACGCAAAATTGTTGTTGAAATATTAACAAACAGTTAAATTGTTTTATTTTTAATACAAATGATCGAGATAAAACTAAATAATCTATTTTGAGGTCTTAATAAGCACTGAAAAATTCAACTCTTCAGAAGCTAGTGGGCCGACAATTTTATTGTTGAAAAATTTACCATTTCTATTCATTTATTAATTTTCAAATAAAAAAAAACATTAAAAACTATACAAGTTGATATCAAAATATCTTCTTATCTTCACGAGCACGATGCACTGACGAACTTTTGAGAATTAAATCTGGACCGCCCTGTATAGGGTTTGTAATATAACTTATGAAATCAATTATTAAGACTTTTCTTATATGAGAATCTGTTTAGAAATAAAATGAAAATGGATACAATAAAGCGGTTTGCAACAAAATCCAGGTGTTAGCGAATCTACATAAGAATCAAAAATATAAATATTCTCGAAAGCGGTAAATAAAATTAATTAAATTGTAGACTTTGCTATCCTCTAACTGACCTACCTAAGTATAAACATGAATTAAAATGGAAATTTCAATAAAAAAAAGTCGCTTATTACGAAAAAAAAACACGTCAGATAATGTACACACATTATTATATTAAGAGTTTGTGAAAAATAAAATGATTCAATGCTTCATTAGCAAGGATAAAGTAATC